CCGCTGTGTGTAAGCGTGTGTGTGCGTATGTGTGTGTGCAAGCACGCCGGGAGCGCGTGGGGAGTGGGACAACGAAGACGTGCAAGGAGATCGGGGGGAGAGAGGGAGAGAGGGGAGAGAGAGGGGTGGGAGGGGATAGAGATAGATAGAGAGGAAGATGGGGAGTGGAAGCACAAAAAAGAGAAGGGGAGAGGGGGAGAGAGTGGGAGGATGAAGCGCAGACAGAGAGAGAGAGAGAGAGAGAGAGAGAGAGAGAGAGCGAGAGAGAGAGAGAGAGAGAGAGAGAGAGAGAGAGAGAGAGAGAGAGAGAGAGAGAGAGAGAGAGAGAGAGAGAGAGAGAGAGAGAGAGAGAGAGAGAGAGAGAGAGAGAGAGAGAAGAGAGAGAGAGAGAGAGAGACAGAGAGAGAGAGAGAGAGAGAGAGAGGAGAGAGAGAGAGAGAGAGAGAGAGAGAGAGAGAGAGAGAGATAGAGAGAGAGAGAGAGAGAGAGAGAGAGAGAGAGAGAGAGAGAGAGAGAGAGAGAGAGAGAGAGAGAGAGAGAGAGAGAGAGAGAGAGAGAGAGAGAGAGAGAGAGAGAGAGAGAAGAGAGAGAGGAGAAGAGAGAGAGAGGGAGAAGAGAGAGAGAGAAAGAGAGAAGAAGAGAAGAGAAGGAGAGAGAGAGAGAGAGAGAGAGAGAGTAGAGAGAGAGAGAGAGAGAGAGAGAGGAGAGAGAGAGAGAGAGGAGAGAGAGAGAGAGAGAGAGAGAGAGAGAGAGAGAGAGAGAGAGAGAGAGAGAGAGAGAGAGAGAGAGAGAGGACAGAGGGCTAACACACCCATATAAATCACCGGTGGATGAGCGCTGTTTACTAAACAAGGCGCACCGCCCGCCCCTGCGTGGCGACCCTCTGACCGGGCCATAAACCCGTTGTGGTCGGCTGACCCCGGCCGACCCGAGCGGCGTGACCGGCGCCAGCTGCCCGCCAGCTGGGCCCCGCTCGGCCCCGCCTCGCCGTGCGCCCCGTAACCCCGCCAGCGGCCCTGTCGGCCGACGTGTAGTCGCACCGCCGGCACATGTGTTATTGACGCCCGTCGAGCTCGGATGCCGTTCCGCTCGAGCTGCGCACCCCTCTCCCCTCCGGCCCGCTCGAGCTGCGCACCCCCATCCCCTCCGGCCCGCTCAAGTTGCGCACCCCTATCCCCTCCGACCCGCTCGAGCTGCGCACCCCTTTCCCCTCCAGCCTGCTCGAGCCGCGCACCCTTATCCCCTCCGACCTGCTCGAGCTGCGCACCCTTACCCCCTCCGGCCCGCTCGAGCCGCGCGCGGGGGTTATTCGGCATACTCGGACGCGGCTCGTGGAGGCTTTGTCAGCCAACTGGGCGCGGAGGAACGGCTCAACCGCTGCAGGAGAGGAAGGCGAAAAGCACGGGTCTGACGTCACGGTGTCACGGCTTACTGAGAGGTCTCAGAGGACAGCTGGAGGCCTAAGAGGACGGCTGGAGGTCTCAGAGAATGGCTGGAGGTCTCGGAGACGGCTGGAGGTCTCAGAGGACGGCTGGAGGTCTCAGAGGACGGCTGGAGGTCTCAGAGGACGGCTGAGGGTCTCAGAAGGGTCCCAGAGGAGGGTCTCAGAGGAGGCAGGGCCACAGAGAGTCACTGCTTCGGCCAGAGGCTGGTAGTTCGGTCTGGTGATAAGGCATCAACAGTTTCCGACGCTCCTAACCGCTACAAACTAATGAGGAGTGTGGCAAATTACACGTAATCAACAATCGAGTTATGCATTAGAACCAGCGAGTGGAATCGTGGGTCGCTTAGAGACAGTGGCCATGTCCGGACAGCCCATCGAGTGTCTGAAGACAACATGATGAGGAGATGCGCCTCGGTCCTGACTCCGTACCTCAGAGCCGCGACTCAGATCTGTGTGCGGAGAACACCGCATACGGAACTCGGAGCGCGTCGGCATTTTGCGTGCGACCTCGGGCGCCCCACGCGGCGTTTGACTGGCCAGGGCCGCATTCTCATGCACGAGCGCGCGTGCGGCGCAGCAGCTGGGGTCCCCGCCGGCGTGAGAGCCGCGCAGGCTCCTGCCCCGCCCGGCCCACGTCGGGTCGCAGCAGCTGGGGTCCCCGCCGGCGTGAGAGCCGCGCAGGCTCCTGCCCCGCCCGGCCCACGTCGGGTCGTAGCAGCTGTTCTGCGCTCGCGCCACAAATGTCAACCGCAGAGGTCGCCGACCTCCGGGGAGGGGGGGGGGGGGCGAAGGCTCAATGCGGGTGTCAAGGGGAGCGGCGGACAGGGAGGGTCGGCATCTGGGGACTCTCAGTAGCCTTGACCTTGACCTAAGGGGTCGTATTCGAGTTCGACCGGGCGTGGACTACCGGACATTCCGACCGATTTCGCGGGCTCTGACGCGCGCTGTGACGTTTGCTGCAACGTCACGCTGAAATGTCAAGCTATGACGTTTACGGTGACGTCAGCAGTGACGTAGATGGTGACGTCAAAATGACGAGCCCGGCGGTGATACCTGTATTCATTCATGGAGCTTTGTGCGCCTTCGGGGGCTTACCTCGACCTATTGTTTGTTTGCCTACCCCAGCCCCATGTGGGGACCAATTTGCTCAAAGGTCAACAAAACCGATCAAAGCGACGTGGAGTGCACGTGTTTCTGCTAACTTATTCTTTGGTCTCCACTGAATGTTTTGAGGTTTGACCCTATCCTCGATTGTGGACAGAGTGGTGATCATCACATGTTTCAGGTTACAGGGGACATTACACACATTGTAATCCTAGATTCTGGCGTATAATGTGACCCTATGCCCTACACACAGGGACACATAGAGGCTGCTGCTACGTGGCGACCCCAGCCTCGGTACACGCTTCCTCAGGCTTCCTCATCGTGACCCCAGAATCTGCACTCTGTGCAGTCTGCGGCGCACGTGTCAACCCAGGCTGTGACGTACATCAGTGGCGATTCCAGGACTTCCTTACGGAGGGTCGAGCGTCAGCAGAGGTCAGAAGACGCTCCCCAGGTCACGTCAGCTAGTCAGCAGACGCTCTCCAGGTCATGTCAGCAGAGTTCAGCGGACGCTCCCCAGGTCACGTCAGCTAGTCAGCAGACGCTCTCCAGGTCATGTCAGCAGAGGTCAGCGGACGCTCCCCAGGTCACGTCAGTTAGTCAGCAGACGCTCTCCAGGTCATGTCAGCAGAGGTCAGCGGACGCTCCCCAGGTCACGTCAGCAGAGGTCAGCAGACGCTCCCCAGGTCACGTCAGTTAGTCAGCAGACGCTCCCCAGGTCACGTCAGCTAGTCAGCAGACGCTCTCCAGGTCATGTCAGCAGAGGTCAGCGGACGCTCCCCAGGTCATGTCAGTTAGTCAGCAGACGCTCCCCAGGTCACGTCAGTTAGTCAGCGGACGCTCCCCAGGTCACGTCAGCAGAGGTCAGCGGACGCTCCCCAGGTCACGTCAGTTAGTCAGCAGACGCTCCCCAGGTCACGTCAGTTAGTCAGCAGACGCTCCGCAGGTCACGTCAGCAGAGGTCAGCGGACGCTCTCCAGGTCACGTCAGCTAGTCAGCAGACGAATGCTTGCAATATTCGTCTGCTGACCGTCTGTCCGCTGATCCACAGAACAAGCCCTCGTTAAGGGAGGGGGGTGGGGGGGGGGGGGAGGCAGAGAGCTCCTCTGACCTTGGCTGAGCTTGTGTTGCATATTGTGCCGCACGGGGTGTAATGCACGTTGTGATCCCAGGTTGCCACCAGACTGTTCCCCAAACCTGACCTATCCAAACCTTAACCCGCGTCGCACACAGGCTGAGCGCGTTCTGTGACCCAGCTATGTGACGCACATTTTGACACCAGACAGCGTGACATTGTGACGCACTATGACAACATATGACTACCTCAGATTGTAACACACGTTCTAAGCCTACTCTGTTGCGCATTTCACTGTGACCCAGGTTGTAACTACACGCTGCTGTGCAGGACCTGGACTGTGACTCGCGCTGTTTCATGCGCTGCGACTCCAGACTGGGACGCAGTCTGTGACCGCAGACTGTGACCACAGGCCGTCACGCACATGCTGCTTCGACCCGAGACTGACGCACAATGCTCGGCCTGACCCCCTCCCCCCCCCCGAAGATACTCTGGCGACGCCACTGCGCGCCTGGAGACCTGGGAACGGGCATTGTCCAGTGGGAACGCGGTGGAATGATAACTGTTTCGATAACAGTTGGTGTGGTTTCTACCACGCCTGACGTGCTACACTCTCCACTCGTGGTTAGTAATTATCATAAGGTGTATATTTTTGGGAGTCGTATGCTGAGAAAGTCGACATGTCCATGAAGCCAAAATACCGTGCTGAATCGGATCCGCAGGCGTTGTCTTCGTCCGAAAATTGACTGCGTCTATTTTTCTTTGACCTGGAACGTACTGTGTAGCTTTGCGAAGGACGGCATGTCTGCATCCCAGCTTTGATATGCTGACCTTTAAGCGAGTTACGAGCGCCAATATCTGGAAGCATTGACGACGGCATCATCGTCGACGGCGCGTTGGCGACGTCAAGTGGCCTCCGCACACGATGGTAGTCCTCTGTCTATTTTGCGGATGATGTCGGAAGAATCTCTCGCCCCGTAATTAGATCGAACTCTAGCTCCTCCTCGGCCCGCAGCTTTCTGGTCCGGAATGTGTCCGCCAGGCGCGCGCTGTTCCTCCTTCCGTCCGGCCGCGGGCCGCCGCTTCCCTTGCGCCGGGCGCGCGCTGTGATTAATCCCCTTTTTGGCAGCCGCCGGCCCAATCGGCACGACGCAGCCGGCCGCGGCCGCCGTAATGATTTTGCCGTTCGTCAAATTGGGACGTGAGAAAAATCACGGCGCGTCTGGTGCTCGCATCTCGCACGGACGGGGCAAAAACCGCCCGCCGCCGGCCCAGCTGTCCGCCACTGCATTCCACAGCAGCGACGCTCCGCCCATTCTGCTGACGTCACGCTGGCTCCGCCCCGCGCGCGCCAGCCGCGCGCCCATTGGCCGCCGGCCGGCGCTGGTTATTCCCTCGCAACATCTGAACGGCACATTACCACCAAATAATAGAGCGTATTGAATAGAAGCGGACGTACAATACGTGGCTCTGGGTGTTATTGAATCTGTGTGCAAAACTTACTTATTGGAGTGCATATTAAATTGTACGTGAACGGCAAGAAGTGTGTTTGGCAAGCCAGTGCAGTACAAAGTGGCAAAAGTGGCTTACGAACGAGTATACCGCGACTACTTGGATAACATGCTGACTATGGAAGGCGACCTGAAAGCAGGCATCGGGCATATGCCGCCCAGCCACCACGCGCTGCCGCACCACGCGCAGCACATCAGCCACCCGTCGCACTCGCCCATCTCGCACGGCCTCACGCAGGTCCCGTCGGGCAACAGTCAGCCGCCGCCGCAGCAGCAGCAGCAGCAACAGCAGCAGCAGCAGCAGCAACAGCAGCAGCCGGCCAACAACAACAACAACAGTAAGATATCGGGCCAGTCGGCGGCGGCGCAGGCGGCTGCCGACCGCGTGAAGCGCCCCATGAACGCCTTCATGGTGTGGTCGCGCGGCCAGCGGCGCAAGATGGCTCAGGAGAACCCCAAGATGCACAACAGCGAGATCTCGAAGCGGCTCGGCGCCGAGTGGAAGCTCATGAGCGACACGGACAAGCGGCCCTTCATCGACGAGGCCAAGCGGTTACGGGCCGTGCACATGAAGGAGTACCCCGACTACAAGTACAGGTACGTGAGCGGCTCCCTGCCTCCCCTTCCCCTCCCCTCCCCATGACGCCGGGGACGACTGTCAGCCCGGTGGGGCGCGGCTCCCGCCGGGGTTAATTCTGCCCGGCCACCTCGCCGGCACGAGGAGGTGGCTGGGCGCTAACCACCGGTTGTCGGGTTTTCGCGAGGACCGCCCCGCCGGTCAGGTCGACGTGAAGGGGCTGGGCTCTCAGCGCCCTGTCAGACGTGCGGTCCCTCTGTTGCCGGCGGAAGGGACCCGCCGGTCGACCTGAGAGGCCTGCCGCACGTGACTGGCTACCTGGCGGCTCGCGCTAGGTCCGCTGGAAATCAGACGACCTGGTACCCGGTCAAAAGTCAGCACCTTCCCGGCCGAATAACGCGCAAACTAGCCCGAGTGAAGGTAAACAGGATCACCGAAACCAGACCAAAAGTAGTGGGCGCGAAATGACCGAGGTAGTCGAAACGCCCTCAACACAGATATCATCATCAGGGTAAACTTAGTGACTCCGAGCGAGTTTCATCAACCTCCGCCAAACCTGACGCCATGCCGAGATACCCCGTCGGCATGGCAGCATCACTCGACCGCCAGATGTTTCAAGGCGGCTGCGGACGCCACTACGCGACCAGTATATCCCAAACCGATCCGCCCTGCCCTACCCACGCCGGGTCCCCCGGCCCGACCGGGCCGTCTATGCCGGCCCGCCGCTTGTCTGGGGGACGGCCAGTGACCGCGCCCGGCCGCCACCGCCGCCGCGCCGCCCAAATTAGCTGGCATTCCTGGCGGTGGCGGCGAGCGCCGTCCGCACCTCTGCCGGGCCGCGCTGTCATTACCGGGCGCCGATGGCGGCGTCCCCTCCGAGCGGGGCTTACGGCCCGGCGGGCCCGGTCGGCCGACCCGGCCGGGCCGACTCTGGCCGGAAGCGGCCGAGCAGGCGCCCGGTCCGCCGCGGTACCAGGACCGCGGACGCCGGCCCGGTCCCGCCTGAGGTCCCGTGACATGAGTGGCACCCGCGCCAGGCGCCCACCGGAGACGGGGGGCAGGTGTGGGAGACGCAGGCGCCGGGCGGCACTCGCGGGAGACGCCCACGGGGGTCTCTCGTGACGGCGCGCTCATGATCGGAGGGGCCCGCGGAGGGAGGGAGGTACCTGCCGGGCACGCCCACAGCAGGCGCCCTGGCGAGAGGCGCTCGCCAGGGACACCCACGTGGACTAGCAGGCACCCAACGCCGGGGCCCAGAGGCCCGCCGTCCCAGGATTCCACCTCCCTCGAGAGCCGCCTCGGTGCCGCGGCTCTCGGGTGCCCACCGCCCGAGCCTGGCCTCTCAGCGGCCGCTATCACGCTCTGTCGATCTCCGAGAGCGAGGTGCGAAGCGGCGCCGGCGGTTGCAGTCGGCCGGCGGGCGGCCCTCTATCCATAATCGGATCTGGCCACTGCAGGGTCGGCGGCGCCGCGCCGGAGCGGCCGGCCCGCCCGCCTGGCCGGCCCGCCTGGCCGTCTCCTGCCGTAAACGCCGAGCGACGCCGCCGCCGCCCGGCCGGCCGCGCGGCGCCGCTCGCTCCGCGGCCAGGCGGCGGCGACGGCCGACCGGCGGCGGGCTCGGCCCGACGGGGCAGCCGGACACTCCGACGGAGTGCCCTGGGGTCCGGAGTGTCCCGGGTGTCCCGGTGTTAAGGTCTGACGCGCCTCTCTGCGTGGCAGGAGCGAGCAGGGTCACCCGCGCGTCCCGAGTTTGCCGACCGCCTCGCTTGTGTCGGGCGTTGCGAGTGTCCCGCCTGTGCCGCCTGTGCCGGCGTGTCCGCTGGTTCCCGCCGTGCACCCGACGTCCCAGATTCCCCGGGGCCCGGGTCAAAGCTGATTCACTAGGAGCGTTTCAGCGTTGCGAGCCCTGGGCAAATTCTAGTCATTTGGCGCCGGCTAACCACTGGGTTAGCAGGTCTCCGTGGGGGTGGCGCCCGCCCCCTGTCCGCCGTCCAATCCGCAACGTCCGCTGCCACCTTTCCCACAGAGGCCTGGAGGGGCTTGACGCGTTTCTGGAATATTAGCAACGGACGACAGCTGGGGTTATGATCCAGTTCTGGTCACCCGCTATGCGGTCGTGGGTTCCGGTAGCATAAGTATAATGAGGAAAAGTTGGTACCAAATTCTACCGGGAAAAGATGCGACGATGACCATGCATTTTACAGCACTTGATAATTTTCATGAGAAAGGTAAATAGTATTGTTCTTTGTACTATTGGCATAAGCATAAGCAAATTGCGTGGCTACCAATGGACAGTGTTTAAAAGAGCGACTTTCGTTTTGTCCAGTACTTTTGGTTACAGACGTCCAGCCAACCACTCATTTGTCTACACTGGGCTGCACGAGCATCACCAGCTCAGCACAACCGCAGCGCTAGTTATAAGAAGTTATGTTAGTCGCCCTCGAGACCCCTGACGATCCCCAGCGAAAATGCCGATCGGTCCAGGGCTCCAATTACCAATGGGTAGGTATCCGGTGGTATCCGACCCTGGGGCAGCGAGAATTGTGGCAGAGAGCGTTTAGCCCGGGTGAGCAGTCCACGGGGACAGCCTCCTCCCCGGGCGGACCGGTCTGAGCCGGGCGGCGCTCGTCTTCTCCGTCTATGCATCCATCACGATCTAATTTCAGCAACAAGCCGGCCTCAGCCGTTACAGCCACTAGCTTTCGGCGGAGAGTTGTTCCGAGGTGTTGCGAGTGGGCCGAGACTCGGGAGTAAACGAGCCGCGTCTGCCGCTGCCTGTGATTTGGGCACCGCGGCCTGCCCGGAGGCTGCTCTGGTCCCTGATGAAGTCTTCATGCCGCTCGCCGGACTGGTGCGCTCCTGCGCCCACGGGCGGCCGCCCGCCGCCGACCTGTCTGGGGCGCGCCCGTGGATGCTAATCTGAGAACGGCTAGGGCTCAGAAGCAAGCGAGTGAGGTTGAACGTAGCAGTGGTGATGCCAGCGTCGATCCGCTGGACGTGGAGACTGGCGGGAGGGCCGGGGTAGTGGCAGAGCGCGAGGAAGCCCGCCCTCGGGAATCAGCCGCGGGTAGAAACAGGTCAGGCCACTATCGCTGGATATGTGATCATGCCGACGGTTACCTTAAAGCCTTAAAACATCTCAGTTATAATTTTGTGTACGCGTACCCATAAAAATGCAGCGCACCTGAAACCAGGTAATGCACCGTTGTTATTTTCCGCTATGGCGTCCCGTTGGTTTTTACCGTCCCTGCTGTGCTAACATCTTTTTTAATGCGGATCGTGTCAAATTAATATTTATAGCTGTTTGCTGCACATCCGACGTTTATTGACGGTGATGGGACATCGCACACACGCCACAGCTGGTAACCTGCGCCTGCATAGCTACAGAGACTGATATTGTTCGGATGTATGATCTAATACAGCTTGTCCAAGGCCCCATGCGCCTGTCGTTATCACTTGCGTTGCATGCCGGCCGGTGTCGATCCCATTGACTGGGCACCTAGCGGCTGACATAGCGGCGGCAAAACGGTCCTCGTAGGACTGTCAGGATTAAGGGCACGGGGGAGAGGCGTGGCATCAGCCCCCATCGTAGGGATCCCTGGCTCTGCACGGTGACGCTGCCCACGTCAGTTTTCCGTGTTCCAGGTAGTATTCTATGCAACTGAGGTACCGGCCTCCGTATTAGCCAGTAAGAATGCTATTGCTCGGGTGTAGGCATCCAGACTAAATTCGATTAAGTTCAAGCTAAATTCAAACACTGAATTATGAACTCAATTCGGTAAACGCTGGGCGTGGCGCACTGTTACCAATTAGTTACGCGGAGCCGGGCGTCTGTAAGCTACGGGCTAAAGTTACATAGGATTATGCTATTGATCTACCAGTCATCGGAGTATTTCCTTCTCGCTCTGACCGCCCAGCACACCGGCATTTTGCCAAATGCATGGGGATTTTATGAGTATTGCTGCGTTATGTCCTACACTCCAACGCACGTACTCGTATTCTAGCATGCTTAGCTATGAGCATCTTCTTAGCCCATTGTCCCTGATCATAAAGCCATGAGAAGGATTCAGAAGGGATCAGCTAGCACATGGGTGCCAGGATCTCGCACAATTAGATTTACGGGTTTATGTATTTGTTTTGTTGGAATAATGTTTACGCCAATTTGTAGTGCCTTGCACACAAGCGCAGAAAGATGGACTCGTGTGCTAACCACAAAATGCATTTGAAACAACTTCTTACAGCTCGGCATGACAAAGTAAAGCGACTCAAGCTGGGTTCTGCTGCCCCTGCTACCTTTTTTCTAATCTCAACGCCAAATCAAGTCAAAGCGAAACACTCCGGATTTAGGTGCCCCCCCCCCTCCCCCCGACTTTGACCTATCCCGAGCGGGTGCGGTCGGCCGCGTCCTGAGCCGCGCCGCGCCCGCGCTGCCGCTGTTTGTGCGGCGTATCTGGCGGCGGCGGCGCGCCGCTGCACGCGCGCCGTATTTTGGCGGCGGCGCGGCGTCCCCGCGGCCGGCGGAGCGCAGCACCTGGCCGACCAGGCACGGGATGACGCCGCACAACCACCAGCTCTCCCAGCGGGGGGGGGGGGGGGGGTCCGTGAGAGGCGCGGCGGGCCGGCTGGCGCGCCGGTCCCTGTCGGATCAGGGACGCGTCTCTCCCCTCGGCCGGCGCTGGAGGCCGCGGTGCTCGGCGCTCCGTCACCCGCTGCCGGAGCACTCTATGGCCTCCGGTGAGATGGCTGGCGTTCAGCGCACCGCAGCGGCCTTTTTGCTCTCAAAGGAGTGGTGTATGTGTGTGTGTTGGTGAACGGTATTTTGAATATCGGGCTTCGATAGAAGTGGAGTACCGGAACAAAAACTTGGCCGTTTTGTTCAGCCGGTGCGCTGATGGTGGCGCCGTCCCGCCGCGGACGCCCCACCTCCTGAGCCAGGGATGGCGAGGGGGAAGCTGGTGTTGTCTGTTCTACATCTTCATCACACATGCCTATGCCCGAGCTCACTACTGCACGGATATAC